GGCCTGGTATTGGATAGCATGCCTTAGGTGTGCACCCCGTGCACATTTAACACTGTAACAGAGTTCCTCCATCCTTATTATGCGAGAGGGATCTGATCCGATACCTACTGCTAAAGAATTTGGACAGCCACTAAATTTAGCTTTCTTGCGAAACGTGGCCATTCGGGTTGGTATGCCCTTTTGTTTTAAGGGTATTAGCTTTAGCTTGTGGGTAGATTTTTTGCTTCTTGTTTGTTGAGAGTCAGTTCTGTCATGCTATAGGATATTACTGCTTTCAGGTTCGAGGCATAGAGCCTTAGAAACAATGGGAAATCCTCAAACAATGTGGTGAGGATTGTGGAATGCAAGTTAGCGTGTAATTGTAACATTAAAGAAAGCTTGAATAATGAATTCTTTTTAGGCATTTGATTCATCTGAAGTCATTTTTTCTCTGTTACACAACCTATTCCATCCAGAGGCATGAAGGTTGTTGCAGTATGGAAAATGCAGAGTGAGAAAGCCGGTGGATCTATCCACTTCATCTGAAGTCAATTCCTGGAGAACGTCTATTACTTTTCCAAGTTCATGCAGACATTTATTTCAGCTGCTTTTTATTATTTTTATTTTTATTATTCTTTTTCTTTTTTGGTTAGTTTTTGGTGTTTCTTTTTCATTGATGGATCTGTACTTTTGTAGAAAAACTTGTCACCCTTCTATGTGAATTTTTTTGTCCTGGCATTGTTGATCTTCATACACTGCCTATGCATTTAGGAAACACATTTTGGACTCTTTTGTATTGCCTTTTCCTTGTAAATGCACATGCTTAGGCTACAATTTTTTTCTTTTATTTATGTTAAGCAAGTATCATTCTATTTATTTTTATGTTTTAAAAGTTTTTTTTTTAACTTTTAATTTTTTTATTTATTTTTTTACTTTAAATTAATATTTTTTTTGGTTTTTTCAGATTTTTTATATACTGATATCAAAAATAATTTTTTAAAAATAAAAAAATATTAATTTAATTTAATTTTAAATAAAAATATCTTTAAAAATAAACCTAATTACATTTTTAAACAAACCTTACATCGACAAAACTTTATATTTCGTGTTAAATGATGGCCTTAAACATTGTACGGACAACCTATCTAGTATTAATAATATATATAAATCAATATATATATATATATATATATATATATATATTAAAAAAAGAGGATTGTATTCAATATTCATCCTTTCACATTATGCCATTCATCTCACTGTTCATTATCAATTATTTTTTTTATTGGTCCTATTTTTTTTTTTTTACAGATTAGTTATTATTGGACGTGGGTTCTTTTTAATTTCATGCTTCTAAATTCTAATTATATATTTATATATCCATTCATCATTCATTCTTTTTTTGAAAAACTATAGAAGAAACAAATTGCAGAATCTAAAATTCATGAATTTTTCAAAACTAAACTAAGAGAAGGTTTTTTTTTTTTTTTGATCATTCTCTCATCTTCCAAACTTCTTGTGACTTAGCTTCAACTTTACCAGATCAACTTTGATCTTCTCACAATGATATTGCAGATGGCTCTTTACATAGCATTAAAAACATTTCGTATCATTGTAATCCACTCCGGGTCTAGAATATTTGATTTAGAGTTATTTCTATAGAGCTTACCTCCCCTTGCCATGTCCCTATCATAACCCTGCTCTTGTAAGAAAATTTCCACAATCAATGCCTGATCACCACTAACATTATTTTCTACTCCTAAAAACCTATTATTCTCCAATAAAACTAGACTCATATCTTTCAAATCCAAATTGTTCCTTCCAACTCCAATTCTTTCTCCAGCACTCATCACTTGTGTCATCAATCTATTAAATCCTTAAATATGTGTCCAAAGCAAATAATTAGTCAGGCACTTGATTAAGTTCAGAAGGGCAAAAAAAGAAAAAAGAAAAACAATTAGTCAGATTTCATTGGCTTTGACTCTAAAGGCTGAGTACAATAGGTAAGTCGACGCTTAGAGGTACATGAGAAAATTCAGAGATAATTTATGATTAGTTGAGGAGGTTAAAAAATACAAAGATTAAAATTTAACAGTATTTATTAATTGATGACAACTCTGTTGATAAAGAAAATTCAATTTTAGTAAGAAAACATTCAAAATCAGATGTTTATGGACTCAATTAAATTTTATCGAAGGTTTAATTGAATTTATGAAGAGTTTGATTGTAGGAAAGAATAATTTTGGAGTCAATTTGAGCTTTAATTGAAAGAAATTAAAGTTCTGGGGTCAAATTATAATTTTTAAAAGTTAATTTGGTCAAATCAGAGGCTTAATTGCATAAATATTAAAGTTTGATGGCCAATTAGGGATTTAGTTGAAGAAATCCGAAACCAAGGACCAAATTAAAAAAGATTTGTAAATAGAAGAGTTGTAATTAAAACCAGATTAAAGGCCCAATTGAAGAAATTAGAAGTTTATTGCTCAATTGAGGGTCAAATTGTATAATATCAAGACCAAGGATCAAAGTGAAAAAGATAGCCAACTTTGGGCCACTGTTGGTTTTCTGGCAGGGATGCAATTGCATTGATTTTAAATTAAAATTACAATTTAGGACTTGATTGAACAAATTATTGAGGACCAATGTGAAATTTAATGCATTATGTCACCTTTTCCTATTAAATAAAACAGATTATTTTGTTCAAAACGGCTCCGTTTCATGCATTGTTAAAGAAAAGAAAGGAAAAACCCAAAACGGTGCTATTTTGAACGGCGTCATCATCTTCTTCCATTGGACTTGTGAAATAGAGGAAGAAGAAGAAGATTGTTTTTTCTTCCTTTGTTATCACCTCCCCTTTAAAAAGACGTTGACCTACTGATGACTTTACAGGTGTTGGACGGGTGGTGGAGAGGTGGTAGCACAGTGGCCGCCTCAGCTATGTCTCCCTCCCCTGTTTTTGCCTATAAAAACAGGGGAAGGGGAAGAAAGAAAAGGGGGACCGAGAGAACAAAAGGAAAAGAGATCGAAAGACCGAGAGAGAGACACAACAGAGGAGAGGGAAGAGAAAAGAGAAGAGAAAGAAGAGAAAAGAGGAGAAGAAAGGGAAAGAAAAAGAAAGAAGAAAAGACAATGAAGGAAGAAGAAAACACAGAGGAAGGAGGAGAAACCGCTGACCAACATGCCTTTACTGCCAGCATCTTCGCCACTCCAGGTAAGCCCTTCGTCTTTTTTTATTTTGCCTTCACTTCTTCCTTAGCCATGCAAGATGTGCACGGTGCACACCTACAGGTTGGGAGAAGCTGGTTACTATGCTCATGCACAGTAACCAGCTAATATGGACTGGGTCGAGCCCAACCCAAGTAGTTGGGCCAGGTTAAGTCCAGCCCATGGATTTGGGTGTGACCCGGTCTATTAAAAAAAAATTCAAATACTTGTTTCAGAATTTTTATAATTTTTTCACGTAGTTTTTATGTCATTTTGATTAATAACAGGTAATATTTTTATGTTGCAAAAATACAAATCCGATATTAAAATACTCAGTTTCTATCAAAACTTCCAAGAATGCAAATAAATTTGAAAAAAAAGAAAAAAAATATTTTTATGCATACGACCAAATGTCTCAAAGCTAAAAAATCATATTGTATTTTTCATACATAAAAAAAATAAAGTTTTAGCATGTATTTTGGCTTTAATAACTAGTTTATTAAAGTCAAGAGAACATTGACCAAAATTTTAAAAATAACAAAAATTTTGTTTTGTTTTGTTTTAATACCAGGTATTATGAATTTATAAGTAAAACATATTACCGATATTAAAAATATATTTATTTAACAATA